AATATTTAACTGAATCAAGAGCCATAAATATGGAAAATGGGACTTTTAATTAAATAAGCAGCTTTTTAAAAGGCCCTAGGGCCAGAGTGGCTTTTGTTTAAATATGATTGATTGGACACTCGTTCGCTTCTGCTTATTAAAAAGCCCAAGGAGGAAGGCTGGTGGGGCCTGGTCGGCCTCCATCTGCCTTGCTGCTAATCGGGGAGATCTTCAAGGTGGCCAAAGGGTAATTTCAAGAAGAAAGGTGAATGCCTCCCTGCTGTCTTGTTGGCTCTTCTCTTAAGGAGGAGGTGAGCTTTGTTGAATGGGGCTGGTGGAGAGAAGATGGTGGCCAGAAGAAGGGGTGAATGTGCGTCCAATCAATCAATCAATCAATCAATCAAATCTATCTACCTATGAGCTACCTACCTACCATTTCTATATATTTTGTCTATTATCTATCTTCTGCCTGCCTATCTATCTATCTATCTATCTATCTATCTATCTATCTATCTATCTATCTATCTATCTATCCTCTCTTCTTCTTTCCCTTCTCTCCTTCCTTTCTTCCTCCCTCCCTTGCATCTGTCTGTCTATCTATCTATCTGTCTATCTATCCTTTCTCTCCTCTTCTTTCCCTTCTCTCTCCTTCCTTCCTTTCTTCCTCCCTCCCTTGCATCCATCCATCCATCCATCTAGCCTAGCATCTACCTCTCAAGCTTACCTCTCTGTCTATCTAGCATCTCTCTCTCTCTCTCTCAGCTTATATCCATCCATCCGTCCGTCCATCCACAATCATCCATTTATCCCCCCTCTCTCTCCATGAATGTTATGCAGTTTTTGTACAGGTTCCCTCTAATCCGGATCCAGCCTCTAGGATTCCATAAACGCAGACACTGGCCCCAGTTGATCTGTTACCCCTGCCCATTTGCAGCAAGGCAAACACAGCTGGTTCTGAAAGCTTCATTTAAACAAGATTTTGTTTGCACCTTGAATCTGTAAGTCACCTTAACCCTTTCGAGCCGCCTCTTGTCCCACCCATCATTCAGCTGTGGGCTATGCCATCTCTTCTCTGTTTTATTCCCTTGGCAGCACGTTGTCACCTGGCCTCCCAAGGTCTTTCTCACTTACCAGTTACAAACCCAAACTCAGGTTTCTTCTCGCGTTCCTTTTGAGCAGGCCAAGTTTTCAGATTAGGTGCTTTTAGCCAGCAAAAAAGCAAGCTATTGGGGGGCCTGGCTGCTTTTCTACCCAAAGCCCAACCCCAACAAAGCCCAGAGGCCTCTTCTCCCCACAATTCTCTCCACCTTGCCCATAATTTCTCCTTCCCTTCGCTGCAAAGGCTACTTATCATCCTGCAGGACCAGCTCCTCGCCCCGTTGCCATGGCAGCCACGGTGGCTTCACGGAGGTCCTCGTGAGTGATGGGGCAAGCAGGCGCCCCAAGGCTCTTTCCGTAAAGCCGGGGAGATGGCACGAGGGGCAGTGACGGGGCGGTTGTAAATTGCCCTTGGAGTTCAGCAGCTTGCGCAGAGATGAAGCGCGCAGCCCGGGCCTCTCCGCTGAAGGAGGTTGCGGGGGGGGGGGGGGGGGGCGGGGAGAGAGAGAGAGAGAGAGAGAGAGAGATATGGCAGAGGAAATATCATGGGTTGCTTCGTCCATTGATGGAGCATCCCAGCAGATCGACAAACCTGTTTGGGCGTCCTGGAGCAGAGCTGTCTGGCATCGCCGTCTAGGGAGCCCCAATCCTGCAATCAGTTCCTTCTCGAAAAAAGACCTGTGCTTTATATAGATTTCAGAATAGGGGTGGAAGGAACCTTGGAGGTCTTCTAGTCCAACCCCCTGCTCAAACAGGAGACCCGCCCCCCCCAAGACCATTTCAGACACTCGATTGTTGAGTCTCTTCTTAAAAGCCTCCACCCACAACTTCTGAAGTGCCACTGGTTAATTGTCCTCACTGTTAGGAAATTTCTCAGTTCCAAGGTTGCTTCTCTCCTTGGTTAGTTTCCATCCATTGTTTCTTGTCCCGCTTTCAGGTGCTTTGGAGAATAGCTTGACCGACTTGAGCACCCCTTCTTTGTGGCAGCCCCTCAAATATTGAAATACTGCTCTCGTGTCTCCCCTAGTCCTTCTTTTCTCTAGACTTAACCGTACCCAATGCCTTCAACCCTTCTTCATATTTCTGTTTTTCTTTCCTTCTTTTTCCTTAATGGTTTCCCTGCCAACACATTTCTATCCCGCTAGCAGCAGAAGGCAGGACAAAGAATGGCCAGAAGGAAGTGAGAGATCATCCAACCATCTTCATGTAACAGATAATCCTCAACTTACAAGGACCACGGAGTCCCAGTTGACACACTGTATGTATGGAAGATGGAATTATTGAAATTATTAAAAATAATAATTTTTAAAAAAGGAATCCAAGACTGTCATCGATCAGGAATTTTGGATGAGCATTTGTCAAGTTATGTCTCTCTTCTTCATCCTGTGAACTTCTCCTTTGAACAGCCAGATGTTGGGCCCTGTCCTTTTCTCTCTCTCTCTCTCTCTCTTTTCAGCTGGAAACCTGCCCTCATTTCTCAGGCTGCGTTTCTCACTCTTGCCATCTGTAGGCTAAATATTAAATATTGTTATTTGTCCTGGCAATCTCTTTAGCGGTTGTGTTAGGACACTGTGGGAAGCTAAGGTTTTGCCTAAACAAGAAGACATATTAGAATGTGCAGAAACGAATAGATCAACACTGGCAATGAAAGAAAAATAGCAAACTGAATATTATAGGATATGGGAATTATTTTTATCAGTGGTTGAAAAAGAAAAACGGAAATTAGAAATTAAATATATGAACGTAGAAAATATATTTAGATAGATAGATAGATAGATAGATAGATAGATAGATAGATAGATAGATATAGAACATATATGAGCATATGAATACAGAGGGAAAGGAGTTAAGAAGGGGATGGTTACAGTGATAAGATATATTATGTGTAGTAGATTAAAATAAGAATGTATTGTAATTATTGTTGTTATGGTAAGGAAATTGTATGAACCATAAATATTATGGCACAAGATATTTGTACCCAGATGACACCGTTTAAAGAAAAGCTGGAATGTTTGTAAAAATAAAATAAAAATACTTTTTAAAAAAAGAACACATTTCCTAACTAGGGAACCACTTGAATCCACTTGGGCTGCTGTTTTTAATTCATTTTATCTTCCTTCTGAAACAACCCGTTTGGATGAAGGTGTAAAGAATTGAGCGCCTGGATAACAACAACACATTTCACTTTGGAGAGATGATTTTCAAGGCTGAAGTTGGGTAGATGTGGAAAGCTCCCTCTCTGGACAAACAGAAACAAAAACCAATAGAGGAACTAATGTCACTTGTCTGATGGCCACTGAGAATTATTCCACGCTCCCTGGCAGGCGGCGATCTTTAATTCTCATGGCAGTGTGTTGGTCCATTGATCCGCCATCTTGAAATCACGGCATCTTGCCAGTTGCCACGGGGAAACCCCAATAAGGAGGCTGCAGATGGAACCATCCCCACGCAGGGAGGCAGCTTTCTTGGGATTTAATAGCTCTAGTATGGTGTGACATTTGGGTTTTACTCACTGGAGAAAGAAGCACTAATTAGTTCTTGGTTTCACTGCAGTAAAAGCAAAACTCAATGTTTTATGGAGTGCTAAAGACATCTGTGGCAGAGTTCCTTCTCAAGTCCAACATGGAACAATTCTTGGAGGAGGAGGAAGAGGAAGGGGAGGAGGGGGAGGAAAGGGAGGAGGAGGAGGAGAAGCAGAAGATGGGGGAAGAGAAGGGGAAACTTGGTTAGATCTATCTATCTATCTATCATCCATCCATCCATCTTCTAATTATCTATTTATTCTCCCTATCATTATCATTATCTCTATCACCTATCTATCATCTATCATTATTTGTCTATCTATCTTTCTCATCTATTATCTATATCTCTATCCTATCCATCATCTATTATCTATGTATCTCTATCTCTAACTAATCTCTATTATTCTATTATATATTATTTCTATCTATCTATCTATCTATCTATCTATCTATCTATCTATCTATCTATCTATCTATCTATCTATCTATCTATCTATCTACCTATCCATCCATCCATCCATTACATCCATCCATCCACCAGTCATGCTCCTTGAAACAAATGTATATCCATATACTGTATATATTTCTATATATTTCTATATTTCTCTCTCTCTCTCTCTCTCTGTATATAGATAGATAGATAGATAGACAGATAGATAGACAGACAGAGATAGATAGATATAGATATAGACAGACAGACAGACAGACAGAGGGAGAGAATGTTGCAGGAGAAAATCCTCTCACCAGCACGGCTTGGCTGGAGGTGAGAATGAGATTCGGCTTGTCTTTCTGAAGGCCCAGGGAGAGCCATTGATGTCACACCTCAGAAGGCGGTAATGGGATTCTAAGACGTCCGTGCGGATTCCTGCACTGTGACTTTGCTTCATTTTGTGACACGGACTCTGCCTACTTCTCACAGCCAGACTCTGCAGCCGGCACTGTTGGCGTTGTCATGTTTTTAAACACCCTCCGTTCTGACCTCTGGCTCCACCAGCCAGAGGCATACGTGGCCCCCGTTAGCTTGGTTCAGTTGGGTCCCCAAATCGATGGCCAGGAATACATTCCATGAAATGGGGAAACGGATTTCGTCTGTTGAAAAAACAAACAAACCTGTAATGGTTTACGTGATGTAATGTATGTGAGAAAGGCCTTGGGAGACTAGAAGAAGGGATGCTGCCAAAGGGATGTTCAGAGAAGGGGCTGCATAGCCCAGAGCTGCCTAACGGGCACAGCAAATGGCTCAGGAGGCAACTGGACTTTCTTGCTTTTTCTTTCTTTTAAAGACGTTTCGCTTCTTATCCAAGAAGCTTCTTCAGCTCTGACCGGATGGCGAGGAATGGAAGGATTTACATTCCTTGCAGACAGCTGGTCATTTGCATCCTTTGAGACCGTTGTTGAGGCCACTTGGAGGTTTATATGACCAGCTGTTAAGGTTGAATGGGGAAAACGGAGAGAAACCAGACATCAAAAAGGAAGGAATTATTATTTTAGATTATAATTTGGATGGATCTATATACAACATTTTTAAAGCGCAATTATTTACACACACACACACCCAAATCACACACATTATTAAAAAAAAAAAAAAGGAGTAGGAGGAATACTTATACTGTTTCCTGCTCATACCGTACCCATAAGTTTTGCTTTATGGGGTGGTATCCAAAACTGGTTCCCCGGATTGGCAGGTGACAAGGAGAAATTTAAGGCACGAATTTGCCCCGAAGCGTCTTCTTTGTGGGTTTTGAATTCAGTGATCTGCTTGGAATTTAAAATATTTTTCGTCTTCCTGTTGTTTCCTTGACTATCGTTTGGCTCTGAAGGAGAGAAGGAGGGAGAGGGAGGGAGGGAAGGAGAGAGGGAGGGAGAGAGAGGGATAAGGAAAGGGAGAGAGGAAGTGAAAGGGATAGGGAGGGAGGGAGGAAGGGAGGGAGAGAGGGGGAGGGAGGGAGAAAAAAGGAGAGGGATGGAAGGAGAGAGAGAAAGAGAAGAGTGTGAGGGAAAAGGAAGGGCAGGGAGGAGGGAGAAGAGAGAGAGAGAGAGAGGAAGAGGGAGGGAGGGAGAGAAAGAAAGAGATGGTTACAAATCTGCATTTAATTCCTCTGGAGGGACCAATATCCAAGGTATCCTAACATCAAATGTCTTGAAGTAACAAACACAATTGTGACGGCCCACCAGCCCATTGTCGATGCAAGAACCGAGAAATCAGCAGCTCAAATCACTGGTGCACATAGACATTGCAGTCTACCGGGAAGGGTGACATCCCTTAAGGCAGGCCAGCATGCTTACACCATTTGTTTCTTGAAGGAAGGAAGGAAGGAAGGAATGAAAGAAGGAAGGGAGGAAGGAAGGAAAGAAGGAAGGAAGGAAGGAAGGAGGAGGAAGGGAGGGGAAGGAAGGAAAGGAGGGAGGAAGGAAGAAAAGGAAGGAAGGAAGGAAAGGAGGGAGGGAGGGAAGGAGGGGAAGGAAGGAAGGGAGGGAGGGAGGGAGGGGAAGGGGAGGAAGAAAAGGAGGGAGGGAGGGAAGGAGGGAGGAAGGGAAGGGAAGGAAGGAAAGGAGGGAGGGAGGGAGGAAGAAAAGGAAGGGAGAGAGGAGGGAGAGAGAGAGGGAGGGGGGAAGGGGAAGGAAGAAGAGGGAGGAAAGAAGGAAGGAAGGAAAGGAGGGACGGAGGGAGGGAGGGAGGGAGGGAGGGAGGGAGGCAAGGGAAAGGAAGAAGAGGAGGAAGGGAGGGAAGAAGTGGAGGAAAAAACCGATCTGCCAGGCTGAGGTACCTGGGCGAAAATGGCTCCGGGCCTTAAGCATTCACCAGCCAGTGAATTTCCAAGGGATTTGCAGTAATTAGATGACAAAATGCTGGCAAATCTCAAAGCTTGCTGAAGATGTTACTCAGGGGTCAAAGACTTGACACTCCGGGCTGGTAATTTGTAAGTGTCAATCACGCTCAGCCATCAGACAAACCGCTCCGCATTCTCACCAAATCCAGCTCTCTTTGGCCTTTGGCCATCCGCCGGCTCCTTTGCCTTGCAAACCCTCGGCCGGGGCGCAGGGGCTGCATGCGAAAGCCGTGGCCGCCGCCTCCTCCTCCTCCTCCTCGTTAGGAAACGGCCCACCGGGCTTCCCACCCTGGCTGTCCAAGGCGTTCGTTTCTGCCTCCTTTCCTCCACTCCAGTCCGTCCTCAGCTTACGACAGTGCGTTTAGCGACCGTTTGAAGTCACACCATCACTGGAAGGTGCCGCTGTAATTTCGAACGGTCACAAAATGAACTTTCGTAAGTCGAGAACTATCGTTAATTGTGAATTTCTGCTGTTTGTTTTGGCTGTTCCTTGTCCGTTGTGCTGGCTGCGCCCCCTGGTGGCAGGAGAAACTAATAAAAATGGAAGGAGAAATTTGGGATCGAATGTCTGAAGAAGCGGACAGAGCCTAGAACGGAGCTGCAAACTGAATTCGTAATAGCAATATAGACGGCTTATAGACCGCTTCAGAAGTGCTTTACGGCCCTCTCTAAGCGGTTTACAGAGTCAGCCTCTTGCCCCCAACTATCTGGGTCCTCATTTTACCCATCTCGGAAGGAGGGAAGGCTGAGTCAACCTTGAGTTGGTCAGGATCGAACTCCTGGCAGTGGGCAAAGTTAGTCTGCAATAAGGTATTCTGATAGATCAGAGGTCTCCAAACTTGGCAACTTAAACACTTGTGGACTTCAACTCCCAGAAGTTTGGGGACCCCTGTGATAGGTAGATAGATAGATAGATAGATAGATAGATAGATAGATAGATAGATAGATAGATAGAAAATTGTATCAATGGCTAGAGTCAAGGAAAAAGAAAGAAAGGGTTGACATTTTATAGGAATGAAAGTTAAAGTTTTGTAAACTGAAAAGAATGGAACATAATGGACAAATACAAGATGATACGAATGCACGAGTATAAAAGACGGTTGTAAATATGTATATAACTGTATATAAATGTAAAAGGAAATAATATGCAGCTAGCACTATACTGCGATGACCCAAAGGGGTGTGGCACAAAGGCAACACAGTCAAATAAGCAAGAAGAGTCCCTTTATTATCTCCAACTTTGCCCCCAATGTCCAGGTTTCCTTCGGCTGGAGAAAAAAACTCTCCCAAGAACAGCCTTTAAGTGGAGGAAATTCAGTCCGAAAACAAACTACATACAAACTGTAAATAAAAATCCACACAAACCACGCTGCAGTAATTAACTTGACAGGGCAGGAGAAAGAATTTCAGCCATGAAAACCCAGCAAAACACACAGAATTGGGAAGACGCCAGGAACCCAGATAAGCCTCGATGATACCAGATAATCCACGATTTGCTCCCAATAACTTTGCTGTGTGCTGCTTCCCTTTTAAATACTGTGTTCCCAGCTGCAGCTAATGAAGGGAATCAGGGCCTTTTCCTCCCCCGCAAGCCATGCAACCCACGTTGCTCCCTTCTCCGTTCCTCTCTGTGTGCCCTAGGATGACGAGAGGGGTGGGCCTGGGTCTTCCTCTGAATTCCTTCTTCCGTGCTCTGCCCAGCCGGACTTTGCCCTTCCCTGGTTTCCTCCACAGCCAATGGAGCCACACTCCCACTCCCTGTCAGCTGTTCGGCCTCCCCCTCCGAGTCAGATTCCGACGGGGGCATAACATATACTAATAACATAAGGAAAAAAGGAAATTAACTGTTATGTGTATCTCTATAAAATAGCTTGTATGGCCAAAATTATAGCCAAGAAAGTCACACTGTGTTCAATTGTTTTTAATGTTTATTCAATAAAATTTATTTAAAAAATTAAAAAGGAGAAAAAATTGTGGGTGCTCCATTACTAGAGACTGGACAACCATTTGGACTAGAAGACCTCCAAGGTCCTTTCCAACTATTATTCTATGTTCTCTTGACCGACATTCTGTCCAGGAGAACATTCATTGAATCAACCCATTGGACATTAGCTACGCTGCCCTCTTCGCTCCCACCCCCCTTGCAATTCTCATTTTCTTCTCCTACCAGAAGGTCTAGATTTCGCTCCAATCTTCGACCTTCTGCCTGAAGGAAGTTAACCAAGGCCGCTCTGCCAACGGGAAGCCCCCAACGGGGAAAGCTGCTAAGCTGTCAACCTGCCAACTCTTGACTTCTCTTCCGCTCGTCTCCTAAACAGGAGCCGCCTATTTATTTTGTTGGCACACGGAAGGCTGGTTTGCATATTTCGCCGATTCAGGTCACATCCCGTTCACACGCACACCGTAGCCAGCGTCTGTTGATATTCTCGGTCCCTTGCCCAATTCCAGTTTGAGGTGAAAGCCTTCCTTATTAGCCAATTTGGATACCCATTTACTGTGAATTACTCAGCCTGATTATTATTCATGAATGGATAAATCTGAAATCTCAGCTCCCCGCTAGGCCCTCTCTCGTTCTTCTCCCTCCCTCCCACCATCTCCGGCTCCTGAAATGAATATATTTAAAAGGGAAACAGAAGGCCGCGGACAACACCGCTTTGATACCGCAAACACCACCAGCGGCTGGGAAAGGATGTCAGCCTGGCAAAGACACTGTTTACCCCACGGGGGCGACGTGCCAAAAACAACAACAACAAAAAAACCCACACCAGCACCCAAACAGTCTGGAAATCTCCCCCTATGTTGGCAACAAACAAACCAGGACTTCCTTCGTTGTAATGCTGGGTTTGGAACAGCGATGATCCTTTTCCCCCAGCTAGGCCGGGAAGCTGCTAATCCAATTAACACATCTTGGGTTTAAATTCTTCCCGTCCTTTGTCCTTCTTCCCTGGAGGGAAAGCTCTGTCAAATCGATCGCCCGGAGAAGTCTGCAGCAAATCCCTTCAGCGGACACGGAGACCTGTGTAGCCTCCGTGTCGTGACTTCTTTTTCAACCCGACTGGTGACGAGAACCGAGCGGGAATCTTCCTCAAAGGTGGGAATTACCACCCCTCCTATGCCGAGGACTGTTGTGTAGCCGCCTATCTTGTAGCTGTGACTGACTGTGGTGTGACACAGTTAAAAACCAAAGCACTGCCACCACAACAAAAAGGCACCCCTCTTCTCCCCCAGGATATTCAAAAACAAGAACGCTAGTTTCAAATCACAGCCCAACCTATTTCACAAGATGTCTTGTTAGGGAGATAGAGTGGGAATCTCCTTACAAGAAGGAGGAAGGAAATGGAAGAGGAAGAAGAGAAGGAAGAGGGGGAGGGGAGGAGAAGGAGGGGGAAGAGGAGAAGGGGAGGAAGAAAAGGAGGGGAAGAGGAGGAGGAAGAGGAGGGGGAAGAAAAGGAGAAGAAGGGGAGGAAGAGGAGGAGAAGGTGGAGGGAAGGACTGTGGGGTCCTTGGTGCTCCCCAATCTCCCTCCCTTCCCCTCCCTCTTTCTTTCCCTTCTCTCTCTCTCTCTCTCTCGGATTGCCCTTCTTCTACCTCTCCCATAATGGGATGTAAGAAGGACTTTGGGAGGCAGGAGGAAGAGCTGCAGCCTAGGCAAGAGTCTGATAGGGAAAAATTAAGCCCGGAGAAGGAATGGGAGTGGAGAAAATATCTCAATCAAGGCGACGTTAATATTCGTGGTTGGGGTTTCCTATCTGGACCGCCTTAAACCAGCTTTCGGCAAACTAAGGCAGGAAGACCCTCCCCAAGCAAATCCTTTTCGATTATAAGATCTTCAAGGTCCTAAAACAGAGAATAGAACGAGGAGGTTCCAGGAAGAGGAGGCACAAAAGAAAAACCAAAGGGTTAAATTAATTTCCATCAAATTCTAAGATTTTTTTAGAAGAGTCTCTGTTCCCCCTGTCCACCCCCACCCCCAGATATCCCCTTGCCCATTTCTCAACCCCTGGTAACCCCAAACATCTGACTGGCAAGCATTTCACATTTCAATCCCAGCAGAACAAATTGAATTAGATGTTGAAACCAAGCTGGGCTCTGTTTGCCAAAGCCTACCTCCTCTGCTAGCGCTAATCCTTTCCTGGCTGCTGCAGAGCACAGAAGCGTCTTCGGGGGAGACTTGGCTGGCCATGAAAAAAAAAACACGGGGCTGGGGAGGAGATGACACCCAACTACAAGTAGCTGAGACCTTCCTAACTCTTGTTGGGTCCTTGGTGTCCCTTTCACTTGGCTGTTCTCCTGTAGGTAAATTTTGTCGCTCGACGTAGAAGAGCAGGCAAAACTGGAGGAAGGTGGAGTTAAACTTGTCACCAGCTTAGAGTCCTTACATTGCTACAAATGGTCCCAAGCCCAACTCTTGAATTCCGTTGATCCTGATCTGGTGCTCATTCAGAGTTGCGCTTTAGTTGACCAGATTTTTGGGTGGAGATAATCCCACAACTGAGCCCAAATTGAGCCTGGGCGTGGCTTAGCTCAACTGTTCTATATTAAAGCTGCTTGGTGCTATGAAACTGAAACTCTTCTCCTCTGCTTGTGTTTTGCATTTGGAAGAGATTTCTTTTGAGGTGGGGAGGGGGAGTAGAACTCCTTAGCATCAGAGCGTGTTAATAATAGTAATATAGGAAATACTAATAGCTCTGATGGTCATTTTGAAAAATCCTTCCTTAGTGAGCCCCTAGAAGCTAAGAGGAACATAGGTGCCAAATTTCACATTTGTAGGCTTTACGGTTCTGGAGATTTTGTGATGATGTGTGAGTGTTATTTCGCATATATATATATATGTATGATTGACACCATGCAATTTGTTTTATATTCACAGCATCTCTGACGCTGCGCTGCTAACCAGAATAAAACAAACGGATGAATTGGAGATACAATACAGCACGTTTGAACAACGACATCCAGTGGAACCCACAGTGATGTCACATCCATCAGAATGTAGTTGTGTAGATGATGCAAATTGTGTGATTAGCCTCTTCTTTCTCCAACCCCTCCCCCCGAGCCCCCATCCCTCAAATGCATTTGAAGGACACCAGAGAGAAGAAGGATGAGTTATATTATTCTGAAGGGGGAATCTTCACATTTAAAAAAAAAGAAAGTATAGTGAGAATATCATAAACTCAGCTGAATGAGGTTTGGTTTGCCAACAATGGCCAGGAACACAACTGAAAGGGCTTGAAAAGAAGTTCTACTCATCTTTAACAGCTGTTTTCAAGAGTTTTCGTTTATATGGGCCGGCATCCTTATTTATCTGGACTTAATTAAGCAACAGACATCAAGAGAAAAAAGGGTAACATCTATGGGTCGGTCCTTGAAAACTAACTTCAACCGAAATTTAAGCTCAGTCTCACCAGGGGATTGGAAAACACAAAAAAGCATGAAGAATGTGCTCTTTCTCCTTTTTGAGATCAACTGATTTACAGAATACAGAACAACAGAGCTGGAAGGGATCTTGGAGATCTTCTAGTCCAGCCCCCTGCTCAGAGCAAGAGACCCTATGCCACCCTGGACAAATGGATGTCTAAACTCTTCCTGAAAACCTCCAGTGACGGAGCTCCTAACAGCTTCCGGAGGGAAGCCATTCCATTGATTCACTGTTCTCCCTGTCTATAGTGAGGTTGGATCTCTCTTCAAGGATCCTCCACCCTCAGCTGTGCTTTGGAGAACAAGCCAACTCCCTCTTCCCTTTCACACGTCCTTCTCTTTGATAAGCTAGATTGCTTCGTTGAAGGCTAGAGTTTCTAACTTCGTTACACTCGATTTGAAGAGCCAAAGATCTCTTCGGGTTTCAGACAAGTTCTTCTCCCGCCTGGTGTTCCAGAGGGGCGCGAAATTTCCCCTTCCAAGATCTGAGCTATTAAAGAATTAGGAACATGGACCCCAAACTGGTGGGACTCAGGCTAACACACAAGCCAGGACGTTGGCTGGCTTGTCTTTGGATTTGTTACAACGTCGTGCTCTGCTCGTACAATAAAATCTTGATCAACCTGCATTGTTTCCCAACAGGTTTCAAAATGTTGATTTCCAATGTGGGAGGGTGAAATATGGTCCTAGGTCTTGGATGTTACCAAGTTGGGTAATGAAAAGTCTGCAAGAAAAGCAAGAAAGCTCACAGCACCAAGTCCCCACCTTCCTTCCTTCCTTCCTTCCTTCCTTCCTTCCTTCCTTC